GAGAGAGAGCATGCCTGCCTAGTGGATCTTTTTGATCTTCTAATGGCGCAGGTGTGTCGTCTGAATCTTGCCGCTCCGATGCCTCCGGTTGTTGAGATTCACGAGTCTTGGATGGGGTTACCGGTGGTTGGCTTTCTTCACTAGGGACAGCTAAATTCTTGGCCTGCATGCACCAAATAATCGAAACCCTTATTATTTAATCAATCATACCTTATCTTCCCAACCAAACGAGGCCTAATTAGAGAAACTACCGATTATATACATATATAGCTCACCATCTTCTTGAATAGAAGGTTGTATAATATATCAATGTACCGTTGCTTCGCTTGTTTCCTCTCTTTGTTCACCCGTCTCCAAAATCCGTAAACCGAACCCATATCAAGAACTTTGTTTGCATATATCTTCCATGTGTAGCTGCAATTATAAACCGAATATAATTATTATTTCTATTACTATTACTACACGTGCAAGAATTCTTTTGCAATAATAAATTACCATTCGTTTATGCGGTTAAGGCCACCTTGAGACACTCTACCCCAATAACTACTATCCCCTTTGCACTTCTCGAAGAAATCAGCTATCTTATTGCTCGATTCGTCGCCATTATTAGGATCTATATGAAAACCCGAGACACCGTCGACTATAATCTCAGCGGGCCCGCCCTGATTTGTGGCAAAAGTGGGCAGCCCACAGTTCATAGCTTCGATAACAGTTAGGCCGAAGGCTTCGTACAATGCGGGTTGGACGAAAACGCCCTTACTATCCGCGATGCACCGGTACAGCTCGCCGTTTCTGTACCTGCCGGTTTGAGCCGCTATCCATCTTATCTGACCCTTGAGTTGGTATTTCTCAATCAAGAAATGCATTTTCTTGATTTCGGAAATTTCTTCTCTGTCCTTCGATTTCGTAAAATCAAAGAATCCTCCCACAATGACGAGGTTTGCTAGCTTTCTGAGCCTTTTGTTCTTACCGAACCACTCGGTTAGTCCAGTGATGTTCTTTACGGTGTCGAGCCTTGCCATCGAAAACATTATCGGTTTCTTTCTGTCCGCGAGAAATCCTCTGTTTCGAGAAATTCGATTTTTTTTTTTTATGTTTCACGAGACGAGATCATATGTATGTATGGACAAAAATAAAGACTTACATGTGCTCTTGATTTTCCTCCTTACTAAAGAGTAGTTCCTCAATGGCAGGTTGAAATTTGGCGAACCGTTTCTGTTTTTCCGTCGACGGAAAATAAACGGACTGATCAGCTCCAGGGGAAGCAATATTGAACTTCGGATCGAAAACATCGATGCACGAAGCTACCCTATAAAGCCCTGGCATTGTGAAGGACACGTGGCTTTCGTACTGTCCGGTTCGGTTTTTGCTGAAATTAAGGTTTTGAAAAGACGGGTAAGTAAAAAAAAACGAACCCTTATCTTTCTAATTTTCCTGAAGGTTTTTGAGCAAATTAAAAGACGAACCTTCCCGCGATTTCTTGATATGTGCTGGTGATTATGAAATCGGCAGCATTCATTGCAATCATATCAGCAGTGAACTGGCACGAGAAGTGATATTTCGAGTCCAAATCCCTCCATTTTACGTCCGAGTCTTCGTATTTGGTTTTCTCCAAAGCATGAGCAATTGTTCCCTTAGATTAAAAAAAAAAGCCCGGATTAAGAAACAAAACCGAAAAAACGACATCTTTGGAGTTCTAGAAGTTACTAGAACAAAATGCCAACCTGAGTAACTCCAAGTTTGTTAGCCACTAAAGAAGCTACCAAGTTTCCGTCGGTGTAGTTTCCGATTATAAGATCCGGTTTACGTTCCATTATCTCGAGAATCTTTGCTGTGGCGTCCTAGTATAACATTACATCGACAAGAAAAATGATTATAATTAAGTTTTGTACTAGGAATCTTTTTTGTGATTCCAATGTAGTCGTAATTAATAAGAGTATACTTGCCTGAGAAAACCTTTCCAAGTAAGGGTAGATATCGAAACGCGACACCCACGGTCCAAGAACTCCTTTCTTGGTATTAAACGGGACCCGCAGTATGTGTGAATGCATCGTATTAACAATAGGCTCCATTTCTTGATTGCATTTGTTCCCTTTCGCATCCGGGATTAGCCTAGTCACCTGCGTTTAATTAAATCGGTTTAAAACGACCCTAATCGTATTTATTCGTTTTTTGTTAAATCGAATCCAAATTTAATTTCTCACCACAAGAATCTGAGGCTTAACGTTCAATCCTTGCTGCTTTATTCTCGACAAAAGTTCTTCCTCCAAAGCTCTCACTTGATCAAGAATGTAAACGACCTATATATTTTTGCACGTAAGAAAAACGCTCGATATATTTTTTTTGCGTCTCGAAATTATAATACTATGTATATATATACCTGTCCTCCAGTATCAGGCAAACCAAGAACATCCGCTTGTCCGAAATAGCCATGGATAGAAAAGATAACAACGTTGTAAATAACCGGAAGCCGACTGAAAAACGCTTCCATGTTTATAGGGTCCGGTGCTTGAAGAATCTCAGAAAGAATCCTCATTGTTTGTCGAACTCTTTCTGCATTTTCCCCCCACCCCTTCTCGAACCCCCATTCTTTAAGCCTGCATGACGTTTTATTTTCATTTTAATAATAATTAAAAAAAAAATTAGACACGGTATTTTGTTACAAATGACGTGATTTTGGTTACCTCTGCTCGAAATTCTGGTAAGGAGTGTCCTTTGGGAGTGCAGATACGAAAACTTCGGCGATTACCAATGCTTCTTGAAGATTCGTAACGGTGTTGAGAGCCTCGTTGATCATAAGTTTCTGAAAATATTAAAACATAAAAGAAAAAAGATCGTTAATCATCTTCGACAACTAAATATAATTGTATTTGTATCTGCATGCATGGCCTGATTTTTTTTTTCTCAGAGTTTTACTATATACCTCTCCGTTGCGTTCAAGGGTAAGAAGGTAATTAACCAGAGGCTTTGCACTCTCGGTTTTCCCACCAAGCATCGAAGTCATGAACTTTGAAATGTAGCCAAGCCCGTTTCCTATCGAAGTCGGTAGAGATAGTTTCGGCGTGCCTGCATCGAATGCTCCAAAATCTATCTCCAGTGCATTTTCATCCTTAGCCCTATTCAAACACATTCTTTATTTATTATTGCACATATTTGTGTATGAAAATAAAAAAATAAAAAATAAAAAACGAAAAAACTCACCAGTTGTCGTCTACGATCATCTCTTTGAACTTCAAGTAATCCTTGGACGAGATTAAATCCACAGAAAGCGTATCGGAATCGACTTTGACATAGTCCCAAATCCCGGGATTGTGCCTTATGGCAAACGCTACATTAGGTGGCACAACTGCTGCTTCCTGCATGTTAAAAATATGCTAAATTATTTTCTTTAATTTATTTATTTGTTGCAATACTAGAAAACTATATATATGTATATATGAGTTAACCTGTGTTGAACACAAGATGTCACCAAGTGAACCTTCTAGAACCTTCGATCTTTCAGCTTTATCTTCGATCGTTTGCTCTATCTCATCCTTTAAATGCTGTGGTTTCATCAGCCTTCGTCCCATTCCGACGAACCTTCACATTTTTTTTTCATTAAAAAAATATAATTTCGACGAATTTCAAATTCAACATTATTGGTCGATCAAATTTGTAAATAAATACCTAGAGAAACATCTCTTCATATGGTATCGGCTCTGCCTCAACGCATCCGGCATTGTATCCATCGCTGCAGACGACGAAGTAGACATTATTTTGTATTTTTCGTTTGCGAGTCGAGGTTTTGTGGGGCTTGGTTTGATTTAGAACAAGAAATATGGGATTCTTTATATAGGAGGAAACAAAAAAATTGAGGGTGTAACATTTGCAAATGGGAATGTTTTGGAGGGCTGTTTAGCAAATTGAAGAAAGAGAGAGAAAAAGGAATATTCTTTGGGCTTCATTGTGGGGAAGAGATACTTAAGATCAAGAAAAAGAATTCAACAAGTAGTTATATAAGTTGCCTTTTTAAAAAGTGGAGGGAAAGTATTTTTGTTGTCATGTATCTTACCAAAATATATTCTTTTCTTCAATGCTTTCTCACATGAATCATGATCATTTCTTCTACTTAAACTAAGTACAAATCTACTAGAGTATCAATACATAGACTTTGATGTAGGGCGTAAACGAATTGAGTCGAGTCGAATGTGCGCTTGTTCAAGCTTGTTCGAGTTTTTTTTTCGAACTTTGAAAGTTGTGTTTGAGTTTGATTTGAATATTTGAGTCGAGCTCGAACGATCTTTAATAGATACAAACACAAATCAAGCTCATCTAGCTTCATTTTTTGTACATATTCTATCATTATTTTTAGGGAAAATTCCACTTTACTCCCTCGTACTCTGCATGAGAGTCACTTTACCTCCTCGTACTTTTAAGTTTATCGATTTACCCCCTTGTACTTGTACAATTTCCCAATACAGCCCTTTCCTTCAATTTTTGCCAATTTTGACTCTAACGCCATTTGGTCAACTAAGTAAATTACAAAATTGCCACTGCTGATAACGCGTCGTTTCTCCTCCGTCAATACTGTCATTTCTTCTTCTCCCACCACTTCCCCTTCCAAGATATCCCCAAATTGAACCCCTAACTTAGTAAAAATCAAGACCCAAAAATTGATCGATTCCACCTAGTGCAAAGAAAAAAATATATGAATGTGTGAAACTTTCTCTTTTCTAATCTCGAGAGTCAAAATCGAAAAAATTCAATATTTACGTCAATATTTTGACTCTTGACCAAATGGCGTCAGAGTCAAAATCGAAAAAAGTTGACGAAGAGGGTTGTATTGGGAAATTGTACAAGTACAAGGGGGTAAATCGACGAAATTAAGAGTACGAGGGGATAAAGTGGTTCTTGGTCAGAGTACAAGGGGGTAAAGTGGAATTTACCCTTCTTTTTATTTAAATCTTATAAAGTGAAGACATATTAAAAATATAATAATACTAGAAGAATTATGTCTTCACCCAATTGGAAATGAAATTATACTTTTTATGAGTTAAATAAACTATTAAATTTATAAGATAATACATATTTAAAAATTAAAATGGACCCCTACCTAACTTAGGATTGTTTAGTGAGGGTAGAAATTTGCAATTCCTTATTAAGGGAATGCATGTGCTCATTATTTCGACTAGTCAGATCATTAAAGAATGCTCATTATACATGTCAATAAATATGTATTTAGTTAGAAAAAAAAAAAATTCAATAAAATACTACGGAAAATTACGGTATGACCCCTGAGATAAGGTTAAATTACGAAAAAAAATCCCGATGTTTGGGTAATTACAGCCCCCCCATTAATTATGAATCTTCTTTTACGTTCACCCTCAAATTTAGTGGATTTTTCTAGAAGAATGTGGAATATTCCTCGCTTTGTAGCCGTTTTATCTCATTCCAGCTCCACATTTTGAAACGGGATGATTATAAGATGTGTCTTGCCTTGTAAATATCAGGTTGTGGTGTATATGAAACTATTTTTTTACACAAAATGAGTACAAACTAAAGAACATTCCACGAAATCTAGTAGATTCTGTTGAATTTGACACCATAAGGCTGGACGTGTAAGGAGATTGATAATTGAGGGGCGTAGTTGTAACTGTCCAAACATGAGATATTTTTTTCGTAATTTGACCTTACACCATGGATTTCCATTCCAATACTCAATTTAATATATAAAAAAAATGAGTATTTACTAAATTAATTAGTACTCTCTCTCACCTCATACAAACATAGAAACCTTAAGTTTATAAGCTGCCATCCAGTCTGTCGATGTTATTGCAATGGAGTCTATATTTATTGTTCTTACATATTACAATTTGGACCACACATCACACATGCATCAAATTAAATATACCAATAGAAACATAAATAACAATTGCAACAAATTTATATTATTCAATCCTTCTTAACATATAAGTTGAAAAGATGAACATAAGTCAATGCCCGAACCATACATACACTAGTAGCGTACCCCGAAAAAATACGACGACGTCTTGGTTCGTTCTTGACTCCGATCCTCTTTCAACTACATACAAGAACAATCATATATCGATCTCCGAAAAAACCCCGAGAAAAAAAAAAAAAAAAGACATAGCTAGTAAAAAAGGTTGTTGGTGTAATAATTCAGCCAGTGATATAATGAATGATAGGACTAGTGAGAAGCTAGGCATTAATGGAGTCTGAAACTATGTTTCTCTCTCTTCCGACATGCACTAACGTACCCGTACGATTATTTAAGGATGCATGTTAGTGAGAGATAGAAACAATATAGTTATATATATATGTATGTATATATAATATCATCATACTCGTCCATCATCACTGCAAACATTCAAGGCGGCTTTAATTTGGCGGACGGTGTTTCCGATAAGGTTGTTAACTGTTGTCACCGACTCGGGGGTCATTCTTGCGTTCGGCAAGTTGCTCACCAGTATTTGAAACACAACCGTCATCAGCGAGCCTGTCGCCGCCGCTGATGACGGGCCGTTGCTGGTGGAGGCGGCGGCGTCGCCTCCACCGCCGCCGGCATCCCGGCCGTCGGGTGAAATAGTGAAGCCCGACGGGAGTATGGGTATGTATGAAGTGTCCTCGCCGCTCATTGCTATGTTGACCGCCTGTAGGTCAACGGGGCAGTACACGACCGTTGACCCCGACGAATCCATGCAGCTCTCTTGTAGTATCAACGTGTTGCTTTGGCTAGAGTTGAATCCCTGTTTAAATTACCAAAAAAGCCCATGAACTAAGTTTTTATTACCAAAAAAACCCTAAAGTATTAATAGTTATCAAAAACGCCCCTGAAGTTTGTTTCCGTCTTCAGTGTTTTTTTTTTTATTTTGACGGAATCTTTTCTATTTATACGAAGCTAAAATTTTTACCCGTAATTGTAATAATATTATTTCAAAAAAGTAACATTCCCCTCGAATAATGGCAATAATTTGTTTCGTTTGACAATTAGAGTAAATACGAGAAAAATGATTAAGAAAAGGACTTCAATTACCCGAAGCACGGATATGCAGTTTCCCGGATGAGAGCCGTTAGCGATATGAGCAATTTCTTGAACCGGGTTTTGATTCGACATAACATCCCACTATAAAAAAATCGAAATTAAATTAGCAAAAAATATATGACAATATATATAGATGTATATATATTATGATAACCTGAGGCCTATTTCTCTCATCCCTGAAAAAATTGAACACAATTTGCGGAGCAATCGGGAGCCAAACAGTGGCAGCTGCGCTAAGTATAACGCCATTAGGCTGACCGAGATCCGTGCTCTTGTGAAGCGCTGCCCGAACTTCGTACTCGGCCTGCCCGGAAATCGTGGTCCATTGTTGTCCGTTACAAGGATTAATGCAACTACAGAATATGTTCACCATTCTCTGAGCAAGTCCAATCATGCTTCTTTTTCCTTCTGCCGATGGAATCACTTTCAAAAAAAACATATACAGTTAAACCTCTATAAATTAATAGGAAATTCCATTAATTTAGCGAATTATTAAATTATCGAGTTAATAATTTAACACGTTTTCACCGAGTCGGAACCGGGAGAAACTATTATTTAATTGAGATTATGAATTTATCGAGGTTCTACTGTACAAAACATTATACTTCCCGTTTTGTAACAGAATTTGAATTTTTTTTAGAAGTAATGAACAAATAAAATTATTTACCTCCTCCAAGATCACGAGTCGAATTTCCAGAAACCATAGAACAAGCGAATCTTTCGCATATCCTTTGAAGAGTGGAGAGCCATCTTTCGGCTCCAAACGCTAGCCCGCTCTGGATGAGTTCTCGATAAAGATGATGGATCGGTGCTTTATCTTCGATTTCCCAATGTTCAACCCAAGTTACCTACAATATAATACTTATGAGTACATCAAAAAAATATTAAAAAAAAAAAAAAACCGACCGAATTGAGTACATGGATTGATCGAGTTCGATTTAAAGACGGAAACCTTGGAATAACCATTAGGCATGTCTTGTATTAAGCAGCCAGAAGGAAGCTTGTGAGCCGAAGAAAACGGGCTTTCTTGATGAGGAACATCGTACGACACATCGACTATGGCCCACGTGCCTTGGTCGATTTGCTGACAGAATCGGAGAAAATAGACTTGTCTAGTTGGTACTAATGCCGATAGCACCTGCAATTCTTCATACATCTGCCATAGATATATAATTAATCACCATTTTTTCAGAACAAAAAACACTAACATATATAAAAATACTAGGTTTGTTTGTGAAGCGGCCCTGAACCTATGCTGGCTCCGTCACTGATAATAACACATTGTATCAATAAATAACAAATATTTTATCTACTTATAAATTATGTTACCAATTGCAATGTGCCACTATGGCTTCCCATCATTCCACTTGATATAACTTCAATTGTTCTTGCCCTTGACACAATTGTAGGAAACAATTCCATCCATTTGTTCTGCAATTTCAATTATCAAATCTCAACATTGTTTTTATTATTATTTTTTTTCATATATATACAATTTAAGGAAAAAAAAAACGAACCGAATCCATAAACATGCCGACCAAAGCCAAGCCACTCATTATCACAACGCCCGAATCTCTCGAAGCTTCGATTCGGACATTGGGATTCTTCAAGCGTCCGTAAGATCCTCGGAATAGTCTCTCGTAGCTTTCGAGATCGAGCGTCTCGCGTCCGACCGCATCGGGTTTCGTCCATAGTGGCGGCTCGTTCCCCTGCAGGAGCCTAATCAGCTCGTCCATGGCATTGGCCGCCACGTCAGCCATGAGGGATTTGTCAATGTCCGAAATGCCCGCGGTCGGAACATTCAAGGGCAAATTCGTCATTAAACCCGACGAATTATTCCCGTGGATAAGATCGAGACCGAGAGAAGTGCCTCCGAAATTATGATTATTATTACTCGACATGGATAAGTCCAATGACGAGACGTGAATAGGCTGCAATGGTGGGAGCTGTTGGATAGGCCTTCCGATGTACTTCGAAGCAATGCCGGAGATTCTGTCGAGCTGCGATTAATATAATTAATCGATATAAATTACGATTGAATAATGATTGATTACGAGAGAGTGATCAATTAATTAAAGTTGTACTAATCAAGAATATATATATACCTCTTCTTTCAAATGGGCGTTTTCGATTCGGAGTTTTTGTTCGTCGAAGTAGGGATCGTCGGAAATCGAAGTGGTCCCACACGAGGGGCATATGGTATTTTCGAGGGCTTGTCTCATCGCTATGTTTTCGCATCGAATCTTGTCGTTTTCCGATCTTAGTACACAATTGTCTGATCTTTCATGTTGTGCCTAAAATCAAACCAAAATTAATCTCATTATATCATTACTTAATTAGGGAATTAAAATTAAATAGAATAAATAAATAATTAAATAAATAAATAAAAACCTTCATCTGAGTTCTTCTGTTTTGGAACCAAAATTTGATCTGCCGAGGATTCAAATTTAACTCTCTGCTTAATTGATTTCTTGTCTTCTCATCTGGATGCTGACATTCTTTGAACATCCTATAAACACACACACACACATCAATTTTTTTTATTTTTTATTGGGATGCATAAATTGGAAAATAAATTAATAAATCATTTTTCTTGTGATTAATTATCAATTATATATAAATGTGCATGGAGTTGAGTTTAATTTGATGATAAGAGTTATTAAAAAAAAAAAAAAAGAGGGCATACGCTTCAAGACTCTGAATTTGGTGGGCGGTGTGGCGGTGGTAGCGCTTCCTTCTCCGGTGAGAATCGGAGCCACCGTCGTGGTGGTCGCCGCCGCTTGAGCCGCCACCGCCTCTGAAGTCCATCGGAATATAATTCGGATTGACGATTACTAATTTCACCACTATATAAGCAGAAAAAAAAAAAGAAAAGTCTAGGTGTGTATGTCAATAATTAAATATATATATATATATATATAAATAAATAAATAAATGTAATCAAGAAACTCTTGCAGATTACCAGCTATTCCCATAATATAACTGTAATAACTGCGCTTACTATATATAAACAATTACACACTCGAATACACACACACACACATAAAAAAAAATCAAATTAAAAAATAAAAAATAATAAAAATCAAGAAGAAGAAGAAGAATATCTGGGATTTGATTATGAAAATAAAATAGATTTTCTGGAGTAGATTTTGAGCATGTGAAGTAATTAGTGCAACAATAGTCAACCACGTTTCCATTCTTGCTACTGTTACGTAGTCCCCCCCAATATGTATATATATATATACATACATCCCCCCCTATACGTATACATATATACGAATGAGAAATTTTGGGAGTGGAAGGTGTGTAATTAAATTATGATTTTTTTTTATAGAAAAAGTAAATAAAAAGGTAAAAGCAAAAAAGACATAAATCATAAATTCATAATATTCAATAATAGTACTCATACTCGAGTACTGCAGGTCAATAAATAAATAAAAATTAAATAAAAATAAAAACAATATATATATATATATACACACACACACACACACACACACAACACACATTGGTTACTTACTACTGCACTAATTATAATAATATTATTCCAACTACCACTAGTTACATGTACTCATATATATGTAACTGTATACATGCATGTGTGTATGTGTATCTATACATATTAATGTGTGTGTGTGTGTTCTAAAGTTGTAACTGTTGGATTTATGGCGTTTCGGATCACACGGTGAGAGAGAGAGAGAGAGAGAGAGAGAGAGAGAGAGAGAGAGAGAGAGAGAGAGAGAGAGAGAGAGAGAGAGAGAGAGAGCAATAAAGTGAGGAGAGAGATACTTTTTGAATTCTTGTAATAATACAGTAGTAATTAATTATCTTCTCTACTCAGTACTCACCATTTTTATTTTATTTTTCGAATTTTGGAAAGAAAAAAAAAATCATTTATTCCAATTTTTGAAATTATGAATTTTGATTTTTTTTTTTATTTGGACTGGCATGGCGTCGAAGGTATATAATTATATGGATCCAATATATATTTAATTTTAAAAAATATTCCGAATTGTTCGAGAGATACATTTATTATAAAGCTTAAAACGAACTTTTCGAATTATTTATTTTTTCGGAAAATTTACGAGAAAAATATAATTTCTGAAAAATGGCAGTAGTTATTGGAAATATGGTGGATACAAAATTAATAACTCATGCCCACCTTACAGTTAGGAGCCTTAAATTTAAGGATGGTAAACCCATCGGAAACAAAGTTAATGCTGGTTGCGCCGCCTGCCGGAAAGAGGTGACTTTACTGGTGGAGAATGGTGTAAATTACAAATTTACCCTTTTGTATTTTCGCCATGTTTTTTTTCTCTCAACGGATTATGTTTAAAGCGTGTAGCATCAAACAAACCGTGTATGGTGTACGTATCTAATTTGCAAAACTCGAAATACGAAAACATTAATTAGATTTACAAATATATATACTATATTTTGTAATATAATTAATTGCACATAGTATGGAGATTGAGTAATTAATTAAAATTTCAAAAGTAAAACTCTCATCTGGTTGTTATATATGAATAATTAATACATGATTAATTTTGGAAATATAAATGAAATAGAAAATTTATGCCTTCATAATATCCTAAAAACTTAATATATATACAATCATAACCAAAATTAAATTCCCCATTTTATATAACCTAGGAGTAAATTAAACTTGCTAGAGATATAGCAATGACTAATATTTATACTACATGTCACAATTGAAATAAAGTACTAAATTTAATTCATACTTAATAATTCAATCCATCCTTAACCATACAATAAACTAGATGTGTTCACTTCATCGGTAAACCGATTCATACTTAATAATTCAATCCATCCTTAACCATACAATAAACTAGATGTGTTCACTTCATTGGTAAACCGATCGAATCGAACCGAACTGAAAATTCGATTCGGTATTCGGTAAATATTTTTTGGAATTCCGGTATTCGATACGATATACAGTATTGATGCTCGATATACCAAACCGTGCCCGAATACTGAAATATTTAATAAATATTTATTTTTTCTTTTATTTTAAATTCTTTAAGGTTATAACAAATTATAACATACTTTTAGATTCAAAAACTTTTCAATTATTTACAAATTAGTATTGATAATCAATTTTTGTTATTAGGGCAGATTATCTAAATTTGAATGTCAAATTCAAGAATTAATTTGTTTAAATATATGTTTTTTTACATTTTTTAAAATATTAAAATATAATTTCGGTTTTACCGGTACCGAACCGAAAAAAACCGAATCAATTCAATAAAAAACAATACCGAAACAAATAGTTCGATGCGGTAAACAATACGAAGTTTCGAAGTATCCTCGAATTGCAGTACGGTATTACCAAAAGAACAACCCTAAAATAAACCGAACCAGAAACCGACCCGTGAACAAAATGGATTCCGACCCGAAACCAAGTGAACAATATTACCAAATTCTCACCTATTTCTTGAAAAATATTGTTGGAAATCTAAAAACACTACCATAAATTCCCACTTTAAATAACAATAATGCAGCAGCTCTAACTGTGGTGCCAAAGCGCGTGGCTTAACTGCAGAGGCAGAAATTCAGTACTAAAAATGATGACAAACAATTATAATGACACTAATGCAGAATATCTGCCAATGTATATATATATATATACACATATACCATCGTATATTTGATAAAATACCGCGTTATACGTACAAACGATAAAAATACTCGTATAAAATAAAATTTTACGTGGAGAGCTTGTTTTGACTGAGTCGCTTCTTCCTGTATCTCCATGCAACTTGGATTTGTCGAGCTGCAAATCCTCTCCAGTAAGGTGATACGTACCTGTCGAACAAATAACAAAATTAAATTATAGTCGAGAGATGTATTGTATTCTAGAAGCGTCTTTGGCATTTAACACGGGTAGTATAGTATTCACAGACAGGATTTACTAATGGGATTAGATAGGGGTGAAAATTGGAACGGGAATTTCCGAATTCCGTCAATTCTGATCCGGATATTTTGGATTATGGAACAATTTTTTTTCACTCCTTATTCCAAACTTCCAATTTTATTTTTTTTTTCATGTTTTTTAAAGGAATTGGATTATTAGATTCTAATTTCTGATCCGATTTTCATTTCCAAAAATCCCAAAAAAAAAAAAAAAAAACTCGTAAATTACACTTATAATAGCAGTATGATTATGTATTATCCATTATAGGTTACTAAAAAATTGAAAATTCTGATAAAAAAAAAAAAAAATCCAATTTTAGAACAAGTTTTTTAATTTGGATTTTCAAAATTCCAGTTTCTGATTTTTCTGATTTTTTTAAAATTTATTTCGGAACGAAATTGGAATTAATTTTTCACTTCCGTAAGAAAATGGATTTCTTTCCGAAAGTGCTAATTCTGATCCGATCTGATCCGTTTGATTTACACCCTAGAATAGAATTAGATATTGTAGAAATTACCTTATTGCCCCTTGAATACGTGGACTCCTCAAAAAACGTGCAAAAAGACTGGTCACTTCTTCGAGATCCGAGGCTCGTAATACAAAGGCTTCAACGTTTGTTAAGCATCTTACAAGCCTGCTACTCAACAATCTATGTCCCGGAATCCTGATTCTTTTTCCATCTGATAAATTATTTAAGACGGATAAAGTGAAAAGAATAGATACAAAAATCATTATATTTTCATAATTGCAACTAGTGTTTCGTAATTGAAGGAGAGCACAAAATTGCCGATTTTATTTTTACCTTTATTAATGGAAGAATGTTCGAGAGACCATGTAAGAAGTTCTTCACCACAAATATCACCTTCAGACAAGGGAACTACGTTACGATCTTCGCCCACACTTTCCATTGTTCCTCGGATTATAAAAACCATTTTATCAACAAGACCACCTCGAAATAAAATTCTACTGTCTTTGATATATGTTTTCGTCTTTAGCCTCTCGCATATAGCATCTACGATCGGTTCATCCAAAAGTTGAAAAATTCGTACCTACATTTCCGAGAGGGAGATAAACCAAGTTCATCGGAGAGAACCCAATATGCAAGATTTTTTTATTTTATTTATTTATTTTTAAATAAAACATACTCTTTTGATGAATTTAAATAGATGACGTCGAATTTCTCTTTGAAGGTCTTCCGGTAAGTTCTCCATTAGCATTTCTTCATTCACTCCCCGAGTGGCTGCCCAATTAAAGCGCTCCGAATCACGTACTTGTCTGCGTCGATAGGGGAATTTGATAGTTTTTTTATTATTTAATTTTAACGGAAAAAATGAAACAATGAAAATATCATCGCTCAGCAAAATAAATATAAAATAAAACCTTCGTAGTTTTTCAGGCAAGCGACGGTGGCTCATCCACTGCTCAACGTCACGTCGTCTTAAAGACATTTCTAACCTCCTGAGAGAGAGAAAAAAAAAAGAGAACGTAAATTCTAATTGAGAAAATAATAAAATAAAATAAAAATGTAAATTCGAGCTAAATTTGTACCTTCGGCCAAGAGCTTGGAGAAAATTCTGCATATTTCCGATAAGCAGAGCGAAAAGCAATAGGCCGGACCCTATGATCACCATTGTGAAAAGAACTTCCCATATAAAATAACTCGGAACTTGATTCCCAGCTAGTGTACTGATTTGCTATATATTAAGCCACCACAAGATTGATTATTGTCCGTGTAAAAAAAAAAAAAAAAAATTAATAATAATAATAACAATACCTGGAAGCCCCAAAACAATGAGTACACGTATCTTATCACAACACTTCTGTGTGTGGTTAAATTAACAGCGTTTTGATATATCCCGAAATCGAAACCACCTTGTCCAAAACAAGCAGTTGCGTTTACATTGTTCTTCCACTGGTCCCACGTTGGATCGTCTCCAAACCTCTCTTGAGTCTCTCCATGGCCACAGTCGAGGAATTGCATACACTTGTCTGTTACCATATCGCTGTCTCGACAGGCATTTCGGAAGCATTGATTCACCCTCTACATACAAATAATTTAAAAATAATCTCAAAAAAGAAAAGAAGCCAATGAATAATAAGTAAATTACGGATACCCTCTTAAGGTGAGACTAAATAACTTACAAACCCCTGTGGTATTGGTAAATTACGCGGGTACCCTTGAGGTTAGACAAAATATTACATATACCCATGGCGGTATATTACATTTATCCCTTGGGGGTAGATTTGGAAATTCATAATGAATATTCCACGGAATCTTCAAGATTTCGTTACTCATAACTCCATAAGGGTGTAATTGTAAGACGGAAAAACAGATCGGGGGTATTTGTAATGGCTTAATCCCACTTTGCAGCCTTGAAATATAGCATTTTGGCACTGCCTTGAAATATAGCATTTTGGCACTTCGCACCCTTCAAATTTTTTTATAGCACTTTGCACCCTCGAAACACAATAAGTCATGCATAATGCACCCCGAATGAATTTTTGAAGCTCATGAAAGTAATTTAATATTTTTATTTTTTTAGTGCTATTTTTTAGGATGCCAAATTTCAAATCATTTTTTTAATTCATCAATCCTTTCGAAATTAGCGAGTGCAAAAATAAAAATACACCTCATCAACATACTAAATTATTATTTTTTTACAAAAACATATTTTACAAAACATATCCTTCAGCATTTTTATTTTTTCGCTCGAAATTATGTTGGGGGTGGAAGAAAATAATAATTTAATGTGGTATTTGCACTCTGAGAATAAAAGAAACCAATAAAAAATGAAACTACCTCATTAAGTTTCAAATATTCAATTCAGGGTGCATTGTGAATGATTTATTGTGTTTCGAGGGTGCAAAGTGCTATTAATTTGTTTCAAGGGTGCAAAGTGCCAAAATGCCACATTTCAAGGGTGCAAAATGGAATTAAGCCTATTTGTAATTACCAATACCACGGGGATTTGTAAGTTATTTACTCTTACCTTAGGAGGTGCCCGTAATTTACCCTAAATATAATGATGATTTTGAAGTTATCGACAAACCTGAAGGCCGAAGAGATACCAGCACGAGCCGACCACGTGGCTAGCCAAAACGAATGTAAGAAGATTTATGACGAAATTGGACCATGCTGACTCGAAGACGAAGCCGGTCGAAGAGGGGCCCGCGACAAAGGGCAAGAATCTGTAGAGACGTGGAATATACTGAACAAGAATGGCGGCCCGTAGAAGGTTTTTTGCGTAATTTGCACCAGATGCTCCGACGGAATCCGGTAACACCAGTAATATGATAATCTGCAGAAAGCATACAACTCTGTTTCATTAGCTTTTTTCGATCTATTGTTGAGCATTTTGACGACATAATGCAAGTAACGGAATCGAAGAAAAATAATGGGACCATAGTGAAATGGAGAATCGAGGGCTCTCGGTACGAGGCAAATATTTGTCGTGAAAAAAAAAAAAAGAATCGCCTTTTATTTATTTACCTGTGGCAGGGGGAGTACAACGAAGAAATCAATGATGAAATATCCGAAAAGATAATTCTTTGCAATCATTTTTGGATCATCGACTAAATCTCCGGACCCCACGACTCTAGATTCAGGTGCAACGTAAGCTAGCCTGAACTGCAAAAAAGTTACGATGTATCTTTCAGTTGTATGAAATGTGCAAAACACGACAAATTATTCTAATTTCGACACATATGTTAGAGTAACAAACTATATATAAAATACCTGAAGGAGGATATGCAACAAGTAAATAAAGTCGGTTGTGCTCCTCAAGACGACGATAGTGGTTGTCATCGCCCGATCCAAAACTATGCACTTGTTATTCTGGATAAAAAATAGTGACACGAAGATTCTTTTGTCACTTTCTACGGTTGCATATTATCATGATTATGATTCTTGATATAAAATATACTCGATTCTCAATTACGGGTTCTTGAAAAAAAGAGAAATAAGAGCAACGTACTTTAAAAAGCTTACCTGTTGAACAAATAACAGAAAGAAGAACAACGGGTCGATAAATACGGCAAACAAGCAAGAAATGACAAAGAACTTGTTCCACTGCTGAACAACTTTTGCGTGGGGATTCATAACTCTTGGAATATGCACACACGAGCACATTCTCTTTGCCCAACCCTTTGCGTCTCCGTATAACATATTGTGAAACTGCAAAACGGGTGAAGGGATTATCCAGATAGTATGAGTGCACCAACTCAATGTTCGATAAAAAAAAAACCTACAACGACAATCGAATATGTTGGGAATATATGCCGCGGATGGAGTTTGCTTCGAAGCAACAAATTATTACAAGTTGAGAAGAATTAGTGAACTTTACGAATCCACCATATGAAAAAAAAAACGAGTCTTGAGAATTTATAAGCCTCGGAATTTAGACTATTGAAAAAACCCGTCTTGAAAACGATTTCCACAATCAGAAAACATCGAAAACAATCCATCCCAATTTTATGTGAAAAAGAAAATGTAACGATCGTACTAACAAGAACTTTCCGAATCTTGATTCAATTGAAAATATTGCATTAAACTACAAAAATTACCAAGCAAAGAATATTCATCATTCTATAAAAATACCTTTGCATCAAGTATATCCGATGTTCGTCTATGCCGCCCCTTAACATTGTAATACATCGGACAAGTCGTGCAGTACGGATCGTTGCACATTCCCAGCTGGCCAGACTTCAAAAGATGATCGTTTTTGCTTGTGTAATCATCCATCGGCCAATCACTACTCTCGCTCTGAACCATCGAAGGAAATCTCTCCATTTTGGTCTCGGTATTTTTCTGCTGCGACGAAGCACCCTGAGGAGGCTGAAAGATGAACTCGCGGTTCTGATTAGCGTACAACGAAGCAGTTGGCTTTTGAGCTCTCAAAGGACCCGTGAAACCGACGAGGCTAGGCTCGTAGTCGGAAGTTTCTAGAGAGTTCCTAGGGATAGACATCGATGCACTCCTTGTCCTGGTTGCAAAAGCCCTGTTTCCGGACTCGACGATGTCGTCTGATTGGACGTAAGTTGTCGGCAGCATAGGTATCTCGTCTCTTTCGGATGGATCCATTTCTCAAAATTATCGACCGAAACGAATGTGTGGCAGTTAGCTGTTAAAAGGGTTGAAAATTTAGTCGACGCTCGATCGTGAGTTAAGAAACAGAATAACCATCAAAACACGTACATCATCGTATACATAAATATACCTGCAAGAAAGATACTTAAACATTTGACCAAAACAATGCATAGTTAATCAGCTGTTAAAAGGTTGAAAAATTAGTCAACAGTCGATCGTTATTCGGGTTTTTACGGAAAATACAATGATCCCTAGTCTAGGACAAACATACATATGATTCATTCATTCACTGAAAATTAATTAATTACTCATCTCTTTGCCCCTTATCTATAATTAGGTCAATTCTACGCTATTCGAATTCCCCTCTCTCTCTCTCTCTCTCTCTCTCTCTCTCTCTCTCTCTTCCTTCAATTATTCACTTTCCATAACTCAATTCAACACTCAATTCCCATAATTATGGGCGTCAACACACACACACACACACACACACACATCAGAAATACATAAATACATCACTGTATACACTTACATGCATAGATAGAAGTCAAATTAACAGAGGAATAATCATGCAATAAAAAAAACAAGAAAGAAACTCGAATTCTCAAGAAACTAGCAGCCGATTTGCATATTAATTTCAAAAGCTATTAAAAAAAATCAAGAACCCTTTGTAAAAGAAAAAAAAAACACACCTTTTTCAGCAAAACCCAGCGGAGAAAACTGGTAAGAATTCAGTCAGCAGCAAAGCCAAAGCCCACCATTAAAACGCCAGTCTTTGATACATACAGTTACAGATTGATTAATAGAGAAAATAATATAAGACAGTGGAAAAGTCAAGACTTTAGACTTGGTTTTGTGAGTGAAAGGGCGTTAAAATTCCTTCACATGTGCGCACAATTAATTAATTTCTCTGTGTGTGTGTGTGTGTTAATTGAACAGTAGGGAGGAGGAGTAATTTGCAAGAGGGAGAAAGACCATAAAGCGCTGACTCCATAAAGAGGGTTTTAACTTTTATTAACACCAGCCCCAAAAAAAAAAATTACTTTCCAAAGCAAGTTGCTTCTTAGAAACAACACACACACACACACCCGGGTGTGTGTGTGTGTGTGTGTGTGTGTTTTTTTGTTCTTGGATGAGGAAGCGGTATTATTGTTAAGGTTGTTACCGGTAGATTCGAGGTTGAATTTTCTTTCAGACAGACGAAGCTTCGGATTGGCTTATTAGTGCACTGTGTTTTTATCTTTATTCTATGGTTTTTTTTTTGGCATTTTTCATGCCATTTTTTATTGGGTTGGCATACCATTTAATTTACTACTAAATATGTTAATAACCCTTACTATATTTGTATTTCGTTTAGAGCTGAAAGTCGGATGGAACGATCGCAAACAGATCTTTCGGAAAAAATCTGTTTCTTTTTTCGCAAATCAACACCAACACTTTAGATTCTAATTGCAGAGTTTTCAGAAAATTCACAAATAAAATGTGAGTTAAATAAATGTGTATATCTATAATTATATATTTTGGAAGAAAATCAAAATTGTTGAAATTATTTTCGAGTATTTGGATCGAAATTTTTAAAAAGTTATAAATAATTCAAATTTAGATCCAAACAGAAAATATCGAAATGAACATATTTATTCTAAAGTCAAAAAATTAATGACCAAAAATCGTCAGGATTTTGAAATTTCTAAAAAATTATGGGTCATTTTGCAATTTCTAAAAAATTAGAAACATGTTTGAATAACAATATTTTAAATAGTTTTGTTGTTTCCCTAATTATTTACATGATCAATTGCAAATTGTTAGTTGATGGTAATATTTATTTTGAATATATTTGTATGAAAATATAAAAAAAATTATTTATATACAAATAAAAACGTATATATGTTTATATATCATATTTATAAATATACGCATATACTTCTAATATTTATACGTTTCCCCCAATTCTCCGTATCCCTGTTTTTAGAACATACCGTTTTTCCATATCACCGTTTCTGTGTCCGTGCTATAGAGCTTAGAACTGAATGTTGGGTTGCGAATATTAAAAAAAATATTAATAAAGAAATAAAGAAAATGTTATATTGGGTAGAGATACTAGTGGGCCTTGCATGGAAGAAATAATGAAGAAGGCCGGGCTTTTATTATGTGCCTTGGCCCATCGATCTTTTTTTTTTTTTTTTTTTTTTCTTATTTATTTATTTATTTTTATTTATTTCATCGATGACAAGGAGCGGTAGGTGGACACTGGACAGTTTCTTCATCTGCCACGTATATACAACTCAACTCATACATGCATGCATATATTATATAGTATATTTTTCAATCAAAAAAAAATATATATATATATAGTATATTTTCACCCTTCTCAATTCCCAATATCTATTTAATATATTTATCTTAACCAAAAATAAAAATAAAAAACTCTCCAAAATCACACATTATTACACACACATCTCTCTCTCCGATTCTTTCGGGAAAGCAAAGTTGATGAAAAAATGGTGGTGACGACGACAATATCAAACTCCGACGAACACCTCCACGGCACATTCGCTTCCAGATATCTCCGTACTTCTCTCCCCAGGTACCCCACCTCCAACCTCCACTCAGGCCCCCGATTTTTAAAAAACGCTAGGGGCCCGATCGAACCTCGTAAACTTTTGATTTAGAGGTTGTTTGGCTAAGCTTATAAGATGCTAAAAGGAGTTTATAAGATGTTTTAGAGCTTATAAGCTCTTACAAAGTGTTTAGTAAATTTTTAAGAAAATATATTTTTTTTTTCAAAATAAGCTATTGGAGAGCAAATTTGAAGAACAAATAAGATCTTTTTAAATAATGAGTAAAAATAGAAAATGTAAAAATAGAAAATACACTCTAAAAATTAATATTAAAAATAAGATAAAGATGTAATATCACCTCTTAAAATATCTTATCGTAGCTTATTATTAGACGTAAAAGCTTATTATCAGAGCTTATCAGCTGTTTATAAGCTTAGTAATACTTTAATTTATAAGCTTAGTAATACTTTAATTTAGTCATATTTTTTCAAAAATTCTTAAAACTCGCCTAGAGGCCCAATTTCTCGGGAACGTGCGGCCACCACACCCAGCCACTGATTAATCATACGATTGAATATTACTATATATTGTAGGTTCAAGATTCCAGGTGGGCCGATGCCGAAGGAGGCGGCGTATCAGATAGTGAACGACGAGTTGATGCTGGATGGAAACCCTCGTCTCAATTTAGCTTCCTTCGTCACCACGTGGATGGAGCCCGAGTGCGATAAGCTCATAATGAACTCATTTAACAAGAACTATGTCGACATGGATGAGTACCCAGTCACCACCGAACTCCAGGCATGAACTCCACCACCACCACCACCCCCACCCCCACGCCACCTCCCTTTATTTTCTTATTGATCGTAAGGCCAAATTATGACCACCCTTGGGATAATTAATTTTGTCAAATTACGAAGAGAAAAAAAAAACATGTTAGAAATTTATCGTACATGTATACGAATTCCCAAGAACCAACATGCTTGAATCAACGAGAATTAAATATAAACATAAACACGGAAGCGTACCTTACATCATTGAATCGAATCTTCGAATCCCCACTGGATTTGAGACAGGTCTTCCAAAGAATCCGCAGTTCCTTAATTATCTCTCTAACGATGGATTTTAGAAGAGACGGAATGGTTGTGTTTCTTTGGGGACCACGACCCTTTATATAACTGTAGAGTCCAGTTATATTATAATTGTGATTCAGCCCCATCAATAAATCACAACTAAGCCCTAATTGTCTCTACACATTAGGCCCATAATTATAGTTTCATACCCATAAGTCCAACCCAATAACCTTTATTAGATCACAATTAATTTGGACTTTCTTTAAGATAGCCATACACATTTACGTCACATATGTGAGCCCACATAATTATTGAAATAATTCCAACAATCTCCCACTTGGGCCACATATGTTATATACCTTATAAATGTGTACACCTTATGAGCTCAAAATTGCTATCATATAAAAAGGTATTCCTTACAATCTCGTCCATTGACCATACTAATATAGGACTAAAGAGGCTTTCGTCACATTGAGCGTGTCTAAACCCAACAGTAATCACGTATACCAATATAGCCAAACGACATAGATCAAATCATGGTGTGTAGCATGGAAATTACATATAATGTGATCTTAACATGCCTATTTCCAACTGGTCCTACTTTAAACTTTATTGAGACCAAACCTTAACATAATTGTACAAAGCGTAACCAAATACTTTATTTCTGCAGAAAACTAAATTCACAAATTTGTGTCCAAGCATATCATAGAGCTACCATAAAAATGTGTTTATATGTACACATACATACAAACTCCCACTGAACCATAATATCCTTAAATGATATAACACCTACATGAGCAATGCTCATGAATACCTTATGTGTTAATCCTTTAGTAAGCGGATCCGCAATCGTGGAGTTTATCTTAATATGCTCTATGTAATGTTCACTTTGTACCTTTAACAACAAAGAACTTTCACAAGCTTTTGTTGTCGTTCAAAATTATAGATGTTAAAAATTGTCATCGTATAACTTTAATATAAATCATAATGTGCAGTCTAATGACAAAAGTTTAAAGCTATACTCCAAAATAAGATGTCAAAAAAAATTACCATAAATTCTTAACCATTGTGAAAAGAGCTTAAATTGTATGCCTAACACCCATACCGAAATAGCTCAATCATCTAGGTCTACATTAACCGAAATGGATCTATGCTTTATGCACATCATAAAACTCAAAATCATAAATAAACCACATGATCTCCCAAAATAAATGATTTTTGATAATCGAGCATATATATAACTTTTTGTTCTCTATAATTACTGTATAACCCTTTTGACTGCTTTTCTAAATGATCCACTTTATAGGGTTATTCAAATATTTGCCTAACTTTATGCACGCCTTAACCGAATGCGCACATTCTTTTACTTTAAAATATTTATTGGGCATTGAAATGAACTAAACAAGTTTTCTTTGTTGTGAGATTATCTCCCACTGATCCTTGGGTATGTACAATCATGAACTTTATTTATCTCAAAGTGCATATGAGATAATTAGCTTAGGATTGTAACATCATTAACGGGAATTTTAATTTCATTAATGGACTATTTTAGTTTGCAACCACTATCCTTCAAATCTTTAAATATTAAGATTTTATGGTTGCACTTTATTGTTCCATAAATGTTACCATTTGAGAAACATACTCCTTGTGTCCATAAATCTCTTAATAGAGTCGATATGAGTGAAATCTTTAATGACTAACATACTATATAGCTTTCAATATTGCCCATTTGAATTACATTTGGTCTCAATTATTCGTAACCAAATAAATTCACACCTTATGGCAATTCGATAAGATCCTAATGTATTGTCATTCTAAATTCCAACTCATCTTTAATGGCTTATTCTCTTAAGGTTGTTGAGTTTGCTCTCTGTAGTGACAATTACCAAAACTTGATTTGGGGAATTGTTCAACATTGTCTTATCAAAACTCCAAATCTACTTTTCAAACAATAACAAGTATAAAAACATGCATATTGTCAAAAGCAGTATTACGAATCAAATTGATTCATCTTTAAAGACAATGTCTCTAATCTAAATTTCTCCCCTCAAACTCAACATCCTTAAAAGATTTTAAATTTCCCCTTTTAAAAATAATATATTGCAGCACTTAATGTTTCTCCTAAATATACCTTAGTGAAGAAGAATGACTTATCATACTTCTTTGAATGTCCTTGAATGTTCTATTCTTGAATTTTGTACCATTTAAATTGCTTATGCAAGATTCTACTGTAAGAGACTTTTACTTAAATTATAGGTTAAATTTTGAATTATAAAATAGACCGAGCTTAATATTTCCAAATGAACAAGCTAACCGAATTTGTTCAAGAGAAAATTTAAATCCATCTAATGACGGTACCAAAGGCCTATTTCATAATTCAAAAGAAAACCTAGGAGTCCTCATAGTCTCAATCCCAAATACCTTACATAACCTTTATAGATGTATCTTTCAACATCAATTGAATATTGCTTATGTAAATAACCCTTATATACACACTTACGTGAATAGTGTAACCCATGATCTATTCACTAAATGTGTCAAGGTACAAAGTCAAAATATATTTTAGAACATATTAAAGTGAGAAACAAGCATAATTACGTTATTCAATGTACCTGAGATGTAAACTGCAATTATAAATATTTATCTTAAGGTGTACTAGTGAAATTAACACTTAGTCTTTTCCCCTTTAATTATTTATTCTTCGTGTGTACGGTCAAAGTTTTATTATTTATGTTTTACAACAAACCTTATATTGACCGTTCACGGAGAAAAATAAATTAAACTATATCCACTTTCAAGTCAGTGAAACCACACTAACTGAAGTGCTATAACTGAAAATGAGATTAGACTATTACTTGATGTGCTCATTTATGTTCCTTTTCTTTATAAGCAATAGATGTCAAAATCTAATTTGTTGCAACTTTATCGTTTTAAAATAAAACGTATCCTTGCTATCTTTAAGGAACTTTTTAGTACGTAACCCCTAATTAAACCTTATGCCCCCAAAAGTTATTTAAAATAGATGCACCTAATGATCTTAAATTTTATAATTAGAACAATGATATACTCTAGGTTCTTCTATTGTTCTATCCAAAAAAAAAAATAAATTAAGATCTATGCACCATAATAAATAATAATAGTATTGATAAATATCCGTGCAATTAAGCGCAAAAATGTTATAGGCAGACAATGTGTAAGTAGATAAATAAATTAAATAGAGAATGCAAATAAGATCAATATGCTCACATTATAATCCAAAGATTGACTTTGAAATCTTAAATAATTATGGAATACATCTCAAGATGCCTAGCACAACATTAATATCAAGTCGTAGGGACAGTAATATTAATTGTAAGTGACACTCTTGTTGTAGTAATCAAACATTGATAATAAATCCTGTCAAATAATAAGTTCATCGTAGGGATGTAACTTTTATTCACATGGAGCCAAACAATCATCACATGTTTATTACCACAGTTGCATATGTGGTTCGGCCAAGTAATAACCTACCGTAGGGGTAGTGTTAAAATTCGCATGAGTTCACATATACATAAACATCTTGACATTCTCAATTAGCTAATCTACACAGAGAGGTCACGTAGGGTGGCGTCATGCTTCAATTAGTTCTTTTAAATGTCAGACAAACTTAATAACAAGTCATTAGATGTACCCAAAAAATTACTCAAAATTTTAAAAGTCGTTGAATGTTAAGGCTCTAAAGACCTCACTGTATTGTTTTCAATCAAACTCAGTAATATGGTTATTCATAAAACTAAGTATGAATTGAAAACATCAAATCCATCTTTATTTTGAATTTGAGCTAAAGATAATGTGAGGCTCACAATTCAACTTTATTTAGATTTAGAGGCAAAAAATAAATTTTAACCAATAAATCTAACTTTATATGGATTTGGACTGCATTAGTAACTCAATTTTAGACTTAAAACAAGGGTTTCGACTCAAATGCCGAATGAGTCAACCCTTATTTGGTTAATTAATAACCATTATTCATATTTTGATTCGTTAATGTTCAAATTATGCTTGGTCAGAAACTTATTGAATTAATAAATTAATTCATATCCTTAATTCGACCAATTAATTGAAACATTTAAGTCTAATAAGGCATGAACTTTAAAATCTGAAAATTCCCTAAGTAATCCTTTAGAAAACCGAATTTGAAATTCCAAACGAATTTCACTTTATTGACCAAACAAAACCTTAAATGAATTTAAAATAATTCACATATTAGTACGGTCCCTCAAAATAATTGAAATATTTTAAACGGCCCCAAAACCTTAAATTGACTTTTATTCCTTAAAAAATTGCCTTAGCCCCAAAAACCATAAAATCTTTCAACTTAAGGCACTGAATTGAAATTTCGAAAGAAAATTCTTTGAGTCAAAACGGACCTGAGATTCTTAAATGCTTAATTTTGGGGGTTAAAAATGTATTTTCTGAATGTATATCACAGTTTTGAGAGACTTTAAAAAATGGGGAGTAAAATGAAATTTTCGAAAGCTTGAGGCTGCAATACAGATTTTTCATTATTTCAAATCGAACCCGGCACAAAATCACGAATAACCAAAATATGGGCCAAATTGAAATAATGCTAAATATTTGAAACCTAAATTAGGGGACCAAATTTGAAATTAGAGAAACCTTAAATCTGGGGTTAAATTGTAATTTCCCAAAAGCCCATTCTACCCAATTTTCTTTCAGACCCGCCGCCACCACACCGTGCCCTTGCAATTTCCGTCACCGTTGTTCCTTATACAGCCGTCGCCGGACTGAAAATATTACACTAAACGGAACCAAATTGCACAGAGGTATACACCATAGCGTCCCCGCGCGACACCTTCGATGAAGTACTGCCTGGTTTCCGCCGTCTCCTCGCCGGAACCGAACGGCGAGGGAGGCGAAACTGAAAAGAAGGATGGCGGTGATAGGGGCTTGATGGTGGTGGGAAAGGTCGAACTTAATGGATGGGGTGGTGATGCCGGAGGGGTGGCTCGGCCGGAATTACCCAATCAGCCGCCACCCATTCACCACATCCTATCGGGATTTCAGATTTTCTTTTTACCGTAAACTTTATCCTTCAACCCAATGGATTAATAACCGAATAATTTAACCCAAAATTGAAATTAATCAACCCAAAAGGTGAACTTAATCATACAACAACTGTTAAAAGATTCTTATAGAATCGTAATGAAATCGAGATTCAGATTCACATAAATAAACCAATCTCCAGATTTGTAATTCAGCAATTAAAAAACACAATTCTGAAATTAATTAAACAATTAACGAACAACAGGCCGGATGAATTTTAATAAATTAAGAAATTGTCACATAACATAACAGTACAATTCCAAGTTCATAATCGGACCATAATTTTTCAGAATTGAATCCACAAAATCATATTTCACATAACTTCGAAATAGGGAAATTTAACAAACTTAATATCCCCGATAATTCAAGACATGGTGGCTCTGATACCACTTGTTAGAAATTTATCGTACATGTATACGAATTCCCAAGAACCAACATGCTTGAATCAACGAGAATTAAATATAAACATAAACACGGAAGCGTACCTTACATCATTGAATCGAATCTTCGAATCCCCACTGGATTTGAGACAGGTCTTCCAAAGAATCCGCAGTTCCTTAATTATCTCTCTAACGATGGATTTTAGAAGAGACGGAATGGTTGCGTTTCTTTGGGGACCACGACCCTTTATATAACTGTAGAGTCCAGTTATATTATAATTGTGATTCAGCCCCATCAATAAATCACAACTAAGCCCTAATTGTCTCTACACATTAGGCCCATAATTATAGTTTCATACCCATAAGTCCAACCCAATAACCTTTATTAGATCACAATTAATTTGGACTTTCTTTAAGATAGCCATACACATTTACGTCACATATGTGAGCCCACATAATTATTGAAATAATTCCAACAAAACACTCCTTATGTTTGCATACAATTACAAGTACGCCTCGATCATGTATTATTTTAGAAAAAATCCGTTCATCAATCCGTCCCGTGGATAAATCTAGGGGCGTTCATTTGGTAAATTTGTACAAAAATTGCGGTACGCCAAAATTTCATATAGTTTAACTGTTTGGTTCGATAAATATTCGAATTACTAAAATTTTATTCAAATTTTGATTTTTTAAAATTAATTTTAGTTTAAAATAATATATATATATATATATATATATATATATATATATATATAATAAAATAAAATAAAACTGAATACCCGAATGTTTGAATACCCGAATTAACAGTTCGGTAATCGGTACGTAAGAATTTCCGTTCGGTTCGATTCGATCGGTTTACCGACCGGATTAACACCCTTAGCTAAATTTGACATTGTAAGGGTGGATTTGTAAGGGTGGATTTGGTAAGACAATACAAGGGGTGATTGTAATTATGCAAACAAGAGGGCTTTTTTCGTAATTATACATTACTTTAGGGGTGGCCGTAATTTAATTTAACTCAATTTAATTTAACTCTGACAAGAAAAAATTGAAGTTGATTTCTGGAAATGGGGTATTTTTTGTTCTGCAGAATCGATGTGTGAATATGATAGCGCATCTGTTTAATGCTCCGGTTGGTGACGACGAAACGGCAATCGGCGTGGGTACAGTTGGTTCATCGGAAGCTATAATGCTTGCAGGTCTTGCCTTTAAAAGGAAGTGGCAAGCGAAGAGAAAGGCGCTGGGCAAACCCTTTGATAACCCTAACATCGTCACCGGGGCTAATGTGCAGGTTCGTTACGTTGATCCCCCGTTTTCCCCCTGTCGTTAGCCATCTTTGTCGATTACTTTTTTATAATCTCTAGCTAGTTCTTTTATGACATTATTATAACTCGGTGTGATCAAGAATTTCGAAGTCGGTATTTCATTTGTGTTACATCCAAATAGAAAGGGTCTTGTCGTCGCAGTTTGTCTAAAACCATGTTTTAAACGCGAAGATCAGAATAAGTGTTGGAAATTGGAACCGAATTTTCGATTTCTGCCGATTCCGATCTGAAATTTTCTGATTTTAGAACAATATTTTCATGTTGAATTCTGAAATTGCGATTTCCTTTTTTTCGGTGTTTAAAAAAAATGGAATTGGAATATATATAAATTGGAGATATTAATATTAAATAATACATATTGGAGGTGGTCATTCAACATGGTATCCAAATAAAAGTTCGAATCCCATTTCAAATATTTCAAATGCAAGACTTCAAATGTAATTCGTCAGCACTTGAGGGGGGGCGTATTATTTGAGGGGGCGTATTGGAGATATTAATATTAAATGATACATTACACTAACAGCTTAAGCTTTTGGCATTAAGCTTTTGGTTGAGGTGGTCATTCTAATAATATACGAGATTGCGATTTCCGATCCGATTTAGAATTCCTATTTCCTATTTCTCCATTTTCTTTACAGAATCTGGATGTGTCCGATTTCCACCCCCAATCAGAATATAGTTTATTTAATTTAATTCCCATACGTAATATGCATTCGTGTTTTGACTTAATTAATTAATGTGTTTCTAAGGTTTGCTGGGAAAAATTCGCACGGTACTTCGAGGTAGAATTGAAAGAAGTGAAGCTAAGAGAAGGGTACTACGTAATGGATCCAGCCAAAGCAGTAGAAATGGTCGACGAGAACACTATCTGCGTTGCCGCAATTTTAGGTTCGACACTGACCGGAGAATTCGAGGATGTGAAGCTCCTAAACGAACTCCTTACGGAAAAGAACAAAGAAACGGGATGGGATATTCCGATCCACGTCGATGCCGCTAGCGGAGGATTTATTGCCCCGTTTATTTATCCCGATCTCGAGTGGGATTTCCGTTTGCCGCTAGTGAAGAGTATAAATGTGAGCGGTCATAAGTATGGGCTCGTTTATGCGGGTGTTGGTTGGGTGGTGTGGCGGAGTAAGGAGGATTTGCCGGAGGAACTTATTTTTCATATCAACTATCTCGGATCCGATCAACCGACTTTTACCTTAAATTTCTCGAAAGGTATATATTTACTTTTTTTTTTTTTTTAATTTTGCATGCCCTTGTAATGAAGTCTTATGTACTTTACGAAGATTTAATTTGTTGCATTGGGTTACGAAAACAAGACTGATGAAGATTTCAACTTTCGATTGCGAATTTTTTTTCAGGGTCTTCACAGATCATTGCCCAGTATTATCAGTTCATTAGACTTGGATTTGAGGTAACTAATTATTCAACAAGTGTCATTAGATTTATGTATAGGGGTAGAAATTGGAACGGAATTTCCGATTTTAGAACGATATTGTTTCATTCCGATTTCCGATCTGATTTTAGTTTCTGAAATTATTTCCAAAATTTTCCCTTTTTTTTTTTCTCCAAAAGATACACTTATGATATCGAAAATTTCAAATCTTGGAACAGTACTTTCGTTCCAATTTCAAAATTTTGATTCCAAAATTTCCAATTTTTTTTTGGGACGGAATTGAAATTCGCTTTTTACTTAAAAAAAAAAAAAAAAAAAGGCAAAATTTGGAATTTTTGTCCGGACGTGCTATTTCCTGTCCGATCCATCCGATTTTTCGATTTTCTCCCCTAGATTTTACGAGTTTAATAATCAAAGAAAAAAGATAAACTCAACCGAATAATTCGAAAATTCTTTCCTTTTTCCCCTGTCTTGTGAAAGGGGTACAAAGACATAATGCAGAACTGCATGGAAAACACGAGGCTCCTCAAAGAAGGAATCATCAAGACAGGCCGTTTCGAAATCCTATCCAAAGACATCGGCGTGCCGTTAGTAGCTTTCTCTCTCAAGAACGGCAGCAGCTACACCGTTTTCCAGATCGCCGAATCTCTCCGGCGGTTCGGTTGGATAGTTCCGGCGTACACAATGCCGCCAGATGCAGAGCACATTTCGCTCATGCGTGTGGTGATCAGGGAAGACTTCAGCCACAGCCTGGCGGAGAGGCTAATCTCCGACATCGAGAAAGTTATCAAGGAATTGGATGAACTGCCGCCTCGAGCTTCGGTTAAATCAGCCCGCGTTGATGACGTGGATGGAGGCGGGTCCCACCACACTGAGAAGGAAATCGGTAGCTATTGGAGGAGGATTTCGGACAAGAAGACTAGTAGTGTCTGCTAGATTATAACATTTTCCACAAGCATGTTGTATTATTATTATTATTTATTTATTTTTAATTTGTATGAATTGTCTACTTTCTTGTTTGAACTATTATGGCTATGTTAATTTGAAGCATTTTGTAGAATTTTTTATTTATTTATTTTTTATTTAAATAATTACTTTAATTTGTGGTCAGCGTTAATTTGATAGTTGACTGTGATTAGTGAAGCTGATATCACAATTTGATAATTCATAGAGCACTAGACATTTTTTATTTCAAAAAACCAGAGGTTCAGTGGTCTTTGTTACTTGAGTAGTAACGAAGAAAAAGTAGAATCTCAATAAATTAATTATACTCGATAATTAAGAATTTCTCGATAATAATTTCTTATACTGATATATTATATTATCAAACTAATAATATAAGAATCGGGACTGAGAAAGATTATTATATAAGTGAAATTTTTAATTTAGGGTATATCTATTTGTTATGATGATCGATAAATTTGAATGCTCTCGATTGTCCTAGTTGTTTATTATTTATGATCCCCGAAAGTAATCGTAGTAGGAATTATTAATGACAATAAGACCCTTGGTTATTATTTTCAACAAGAAAAGGGTAAATTACAACAAACTCCCTGAGGTAGTTCAAATTACGTACGAAAACCCCCTCCTACTTGGATAATTACCTTTACCCCTCAACTATGAATCTTCTTATATCTCCACCCTTATGGTGTCAAATTCAACATAATCATCTAGATTCCGTGGAATGTTCTCTAGTTTGTACTCGTTTTGTGCAAAAATACAGTTTCTGATGCACCTCAATCTGATATATACAAGCCAAAAAAACCATATTTTATGATCATCTACCTTCAAAATGTGGAGCTCGAAGGGGATAAAAATTGAGAATATTCCATATAATCTATAACATTCCACTAAATTTGAAACCGCGAGGGTGGACGTGTAAGAAGATTTATAGTTGATGGGTGGTTGTAATTACCCAAACAAGAGGGGGTTTTCGTAATTTGACCTCAACCTCAGGAGTGATTGTAATTTACCATAATTATCTACCTAATTAAATTAAATAACTAAATCATAGATTGTGATTACAAACAACAAGCATCACTCTTTTTTTCTCAATATGGCACAAAGGTACTAATCATATGATGCACTTGTTACAATATTTTTGTGATATTGAACAACACTTGAGCCGAAAGTTAGGGTTCTACAAGTTGCAATTTTATTTTCATCTCTCATTATCTTATAAGAAAATCTCGAAAAAGTTACGTACGCACTATTGTTTACGGTTGTCTTGTCCTTTTCGCTTCTTATTATCAAATTTATTGTAGGTGGTTCATTTTCTACTGTGGGTAGTATTTATCAAAGTCGATTTTTATGACATTTGCAAACACCCCGACTTTTAATAATAAGCAATTATCTCAAAGTTTACTCACAAAGGATCACCAATATACAAGATTAATAAATAGTAGGATGCAACTTGGAATGGATTTTCAATTATTTATATTATTTTCATATAATGCATATATAGTAAAATTATACAAATATTTAAATCAAAATGCATAGTTTGGGAGAAAAAAATCAATCTTTTGATATTCATAAATTAAAATCGTATCAAAAAATGGGAATTTCTGAAAATTTTATGTATACTTCCAATTATGATGCAAATGTTTTTGGGGGGGAAAATAGGAATCAATACTTTGAAAATCGAAATGAGAAGGTCGTTCTAAAATTGAAAGTTTTGAAATGGGGAATCGGCAAAGTTACATGAAATGGGGAATCGAAGGATTTTACGCAATTAATAAAATAAACATAAGAGGGTTTGGTGCAAGTTTCGGCCATTTAGCACAATGACCAGTGTTTATACCTTCGATTTTGAGTTAACCTAGTACGTAGTTAATTACCCAACGGGTGGTTTTCCGATTAATTGTAGGTCAATCAGTAGTTAGGTCTTGAAAAGCTGATCAATACCTAAATTACCTAACTTTTCTTAGCTACTCATCAATATATATATATATATGTATATATGCATGTAATTAATGTAATAATTATTACAATTCTTATACAATTTAACAACCCTAACAATTTTGTTCTCATTTAGTCATACATGCATTTTGATAATAATTAGGGTTTACAAGTTAGTTCACATTTAGGTTTGAATAATTAAGATCAGTAGTATAATTAACACAAGTGTAATCATCGATCTCAATTAATCATTAATTAGTGGAATAGTATATGCTCAATTTGTAGACAAGTATTAATTAATTAATTAATAGTGGTGCTAAAGGTGGTTATTGTAGGTTAGAATTTTGGAGAGATGTTGAGATGAGAACTACATTTACCCTACCAAATTAAACAACCTTTCACTCTCTCTTCTACTCTTTCTCTCTCATAAGACCAAAGAGAGAGAGAGAGAGAATTAGATATGTATAATATCTGTATGTATATATATATGTAAGTAAGTGGTTTGTTAGACAAGATGTTGCATCAAGTACTGGTGGTGGTGGTGGTGCTGCTGTCCAAACCCCTCCCACTCTATCTCTAACGGAAAACACCTCTTTATCTAATCATCCATCAATTCTCTCTCCTCCCTATATATACATGTATGTATTATATTTCATGTGTTCAATTGTTCGAAATTAACGAGTTTTGATTTATCAATTCTTACAGTTGAAGTTATAAGGAAGAAAGCAGGAGAATTTAATTCTTGTTGGAGTACTTTGGGGTTTGTTGAACAGTAGTTTTAATTGATCCCTTTTTATTAATTAACAGAGAGAGAGAGAGAGAGAGAGAGAGAGAGAGAGAGAATTTGGTTTGTTGCGATACAGTTGTAGATCGATCGTCATAGTAAAAGATGTGTAGTAGAGGGCATTGGAGACCGGCGGAGGATGAGAAGCTTCGAGAATTAGTTGAAAGATATGGACCTCATAACTGGAATTCCATTGCTCTAAACCTACCTTCTAGATCAGGTTAATCTCTCTCTCTCTCTCTCTCTCTCTCTCTCTCTCTCTCTCTCTCTCTCTCTCTCTCTCTCTCTCTCTCGCACTCACACACACTAGTTAACCGGATGATAATCACATGAATTAGACCATCATTCCATTAATATTGCTCATTTGTAGCATGCATGTTTTGGACAAAATTGTTCAATTATTACAAGGTTAAAAAGTTCATTGCAGGAATTAAATTATATATTATATATATATAATGATAAGTATACTAATGCATAATTGCACATATATGTATATATACATATTAGGGAAGAGTTGCAGGCTGAGATGGTTCAACCAATTGGATCCAAGAATAAACCGGAGCCCATTCACAGAGGAGGAAGAAGAGCAGCTCCTCGCCTGTCACAGAATCCACGGTAACCGATGGGCTATAATAGCAAGGCTATTCCCCGGCAGGACCGACAATGCTGTCAAGAATCACTGGCACGTCATCATGTCCCGTAAATTCCGACAAAATCATCAAAACTCCAAGAATACAACAACACACAAATTCCCTCATCACAGAATATTATATAATAATTATCGACTCCCACATCGAATTACAGATAAACCTGTCCATCATCACAATATTAATATGGATCAAGGTAATTATACTTTATAATGACTTAACTAAATTGTGACATGCATGAGTATATATATATATATATATATATATATATATTATAATTATGTATAATCGAAATGCATGCATGCAGGAGATAGTAGAAAAAAGGAAGTGGAGTTCTACGATTTTCTCCGAGTGAATACAGATTCGATTAACGGAAGTGAAGTGATAGACGACGACGGAATACCTAGGAACGATAATAATGAAGAAGTGGAGCAAGAATCGGGCCGGGCAGCTCTGCCGCCGTTTATAGATTTCTTATCGGTAATGGGAAACCACTCTTCAAATTAGTAATTAATTTCTGACTTTGATTTTTTTACTTGCATATGTATATGTATATGTATATGCACTAGCAGAATGCTTTTGAATGCATGAATACACATGTAGAAGATGAACAAGTATATAGTATATTAATAGAGAAGTTAATTATGTACTCATATTGGATGCATATATATATAATATATATGTATATTGTTCCCATATTTTCTTTAGTAGTATATATAAATAGAGAGGTATATATTTTTTTAATTATTATTATTATTATTATTTTTGTTTTGATCAATCGTGATATTAGTTTGAATGTAATGTAAAGAACTTTCATTTTGTGAAAGGTTTTTTGAAAACACAAGGCGGATATATGTTTGTATTAAAATACAAGGGGTCGGTTGGCTGTATGCTGTATTGAAAGTATAAGGGGTCATCTGCACAAAGTTCAAGCCACAGGGGGTTTAAGTGCTATTTACCACGAAAATATAACCCAAATATCCAGACTTGTCCAACATTTGAGAGCAACTAATTGACCAAATTGAAGAAAAACATTTTTTCCCAGAAATTTCCAGTTCTTGCAAAATACAATACTCAGCCTCTCCTAAGCCGATCAAAATTGGATAAGCAGCTATTTTCACAGCCTATTATAACTAAAAAAATGAATCATCACACATCATGTACAACAACAACAACAACAACAACAATGAACACTTCATTCCACCCGAACGAGAAAAAAAAGAAAAAAAGAAAAAAAGAAAAAGAAAAGAAAGAAAGAGTCCCTACCGTTACAATATTGCGTGAAATATTACATTTCAATTGTCAATGATATCATACTACAACTCCGCAGTGGGTTTAAACAAGATTCGATCATTCGTCTTTTGAAACCGAATTCACCTTCCAATTGAGCAGCGGACTATAGAAATTTACGATCGTATTGGTTGATCGATTTCCAGCTTGATGGTCAAGCCATGTTCCGATTCACAGTTCTTCTCCGATATCTTAGTAGTTTCACCATCGATAATCTCCACGAATCATATATATATATATATATATATATATATTCTTCAGGATGATATTGGTTCATAAGGGTATTGCAACCATGGATGTTTCAAAGCCTCTGATGCAGAAGGCCGTTTGTTAGGGTTGACTTCTAGCAGATGGGAGACAAAGTCAACGAAGCCTTGGTCTCCCATTGGCAACCGATGTCTCAATGATGATTTTTTCGGTATCAGATATTCCAATATGTTAGTGTCCTGAAGCAAAAAAATAAAAAATACAAGAGATCGATTATTATATGTAAAACCGATTTGACTATAAAGAAAAATACGAGGCGAAGCTTACCTGGTTTCTTTCGTAGAGCATGTGATTTTTTGTGAAGTATTTGTATGTATCCCGTCCTTTGGCAAGCATATCTTGCTCGATCAGGCCTACGATTCCAATTACTCGTGCAAGTAAAGTGGCCGGTGAATCGTTTTGAAAGAGCACCTATATAGATAAAATTGCTTTTATTTTGCATAGGAGTTTCAAAATGTACTAAAAGAAAAATTAAACACTTCGAACATAGTCCAATCACAGATGATTATGTGACGAGAGAAAAAGTGACGACTAAGCGTAAATCTAAATCCATGACAATAAAACCCTAAAAATCAATACTTTATCTTATCAAAAAGTAAAAGAATGGTGGACATTTAAATCTGGAAGAACTTACATTGCCTGTGCAAAGCTCGGCCAAGATGCAACCAAGAGACCAGATATCGATTTTCTTGTCATAGGGAAGTCCCAAAATAACCTCAGGTGCACGGTAAGACCTAGATTGAACATACGAACAAAGATTATCTGTTCCAAAGCAACTACTTCCGAGATCAATGACCTTCACCTCACATCTACTGTAACTTTTCACCAATATATTCTCCGGCTTCAAATCACAATGTATTAGCCCAAGACCGTGTAAGAATTGAAGTGCTTCCAAGCACTGAATAGTAATCGACTGTCCAATAAAAAAAAAAGAAACAAAACAGTTAGGTCAGCAATGGATAGTGTAATTAGACATAAGAAATCTAAGACGTTTGTGCCAGAAAAAAACCTGCAGTCTCGGCATTGTAAAGTAGACTTCTCCTCCAGATTCTCTGTTGAATTTATGAAACTCGTACAAGTTTGCCTTGAGCAATTCACATACAATCAACAAATGCTCCTGCGTAAGGAATAAAAGCTTATATTGACTGAATTTCACACATCAAATATTGATTGTTCATTAACTATAGACATCCATATATTTATTCATGCAAAACAAGCATTACACCTTATAAACAAGACACAAAAGCTTTGTATACGTTTTAAGTCAACGAAGTCAGACCCGGTTCAATACAATCGTAAATCGTTAGATATAACATGATCTAAAACTATGCAGCATCCACTTTGAGGCTTAACATTAGCCATATCCTTGAAGTGACTGTCAAAAGAGTTACAGTAATCGCTATATTAAATTAACTATGTATTAAAACCTTTCCATACAAAAATTTAATTTGTCGAGAGAAAGTAACTTGGCAAAAAACTTGAAGATAATTATATTCCCCCGTTATTGCTTACCAAAATCGAGATCGTAAATAACTTGCCTAATACTCTGTTTTCTCTTCACAGTAATTTGGAGGTTCCACATAACTGTCATATTTCTAGGGGCAAAAGGGGCAATTTACCACAACTTTTAAGTGCAAACAAGTAATTTAAGATGAGGGCTATCTCTTGTCAGACTTCTCATCCATTGACTCTTAATATGGAGGAGTAAATGCCATATCTGTAAATTATGCATAATGAATGCAATGTAAGGCAGTTCAAGAGAGGCATATTTATCACTGTTGCTAAAGTGATTTAAGATTTTTCTTTTTTTAAATTCTTACTTACTCGATAATAGAAGTAATCGTACAGCCGAAGAAGATGATACTTGTCGCCAGGATCATGTTTGTTCACATACTTGAGCAGCTTAATTTCATCAAGGCTCTGATCAAAAAAATCTTTATTGTTTTTTATAATCTTCACACAAACATCCATACCGGTGTGCAAGTCATGCGCCTGTATGGCTTTGCTGAATGCAGCCGAGCCAAGATACTCCGTCACATGATACCGTCCAGCTAGGACCGAATTCAAAACAACATGGAAACTTTTGTCCTCCTCGAAACCAGTCCTGAACAAAAAATATATATATATATATATAAGTAAAATTAAATTAACATATTTCATTCACGATTGACAAAAAAGGGTACTTGCCTGTTTTTTCTGTGGACAATCTTCAAATTGAAGGTTTCGAATTCGTCCTCTTGTGCTTTGATCTGCTTCACTTGCTCTTGTACAGCAGCAGCTTCCTCGTCTTCCAACAATGCCCCTGGATCTTCTTCTTCTCTTACACCCGATGCTATTACATCATCTTCTTTCTTTACATGCACCCTTTCGATATACCCATAATTTGAAAGAGACGAAGGACTAGAATTTGCCGATTCCCCAGTGTTGGCATATTTTTCATCCATCGAACTCTTCACGGGTGAAGATTCCCCGCTGCTTTTACGCCTCCATGATGTCACCATGTCATCATTCGCCATTATACAGTCATCTCTTGGAGGGGGAAACGAGAATCCTCCATCGATCTGATTCTTACTCTTCTTCATAACTTTATCCAAATTTTGCCTCTTTGTTCTATTTTTATGGGCATCAAAGTAGTCTATATCCCCACCTTCACTACTACCTCCGACCAAACTATCTCTCACTTCACTGCCAAAATCAGCCACGTCACTATTGATTCCAACACCAATAGATCTAACCGAACCATGTTGGTCATCATCCAAATGAGGCCTTCCAAATTGACTCGTAATTTTTCCATTTTCGAGCATCCTCAGTTCATTATTCTGACCGATTAAACCCTGCCAAACGGGCTCTGTGCACATTAAACTCAGTTCCTCCTCATATTGACCTACAGGATTTTCTGAAGATACAGCTGGATCGACGCTTTTCGACTGGAAATACTGCTCGCCCGAGATGTAAGAATCCTCTTCTGCAAACGACTGATCATCTTCTTCATCTTCGTCTTCATCGTCCTTGTCCTGTTCCCTTTCTTGAGTGTCCGGAAAACTCCCATGCCCCGTCACCTTTTCGTTGTCACTTGGGTAATCAACTTCATGTGCAAGAAACCAGGTTTCGTCTTCTATGGGTTGTCTCATATAGCCAACATCTTCATCATCTTCGTATTCATCGGAATCCCAATAATCATTTGGGTAGTCGACTGATTCGCTCAGTCCATCACCTATAGTTGCGAAACCGGAAAAGAGATCCGAAGTATCTTCAGCTATACCCTGACTCACAGAGAGCCAACTGCCTCCCTTTGGCATTTTCCCTATGCATCGTCATTAATTATGAGAAAAATAATATTTAACTGAAAATCACGAAGCGCAAGATCAAGAAAGGCAAAAAAAAAAAGTGGAACACTAAAACATACCAATTTTATATGGTAAGTATCGTAAATAATCATATCCAAGTTCAGAGGTCAACTTAAAAGGAGCAGATGAAAATATCTCAACCATATCAATCAATAACTAAGATGTTAGAAATGCGGTTTAAACATTGACAACTCTCTGCGAATAGATTTGGAAAATTAATCTCACATTTTAATTTCTGGACTGAATGACAGTGTTATTTCGAATGTACTATGCGGCATCATGAATTGCAGAAATTAGAAGACAATAGACAAAGAAATATGATGAATTTTCAAACCTGAAGGATCGAATTCACGGCCAATAGGTACGTCCAGAAATGACCCTATAAGATATCCATTGTCGGCATTCAAGATCTTCGGACCGGGCCCACCACCGCGTTCATACTTCTCCTCCCATTGAATATTGAAAGGCTTTTCTTCCGGCTTTAGTCTTACAGGTGGCAGCCTCGGTAACTCTTCCTTCTTCTGGTTCTCAGATGCAAGACGAAATTCTAATGCACCGAAATCCACTTCATCCTTAATTGCTGTCCTAATGTTGTGGAGTTCGATTTTCATTTTTCCCTCCTTTTTATCAACAATAGCAGAAGTAGTACTATCATAACTGGATGAAGTGCCCTCCCCCGACAAGGGGAAGACAGTTTTGGGCAAAGATGAATGGGCAGACAACACGTTATTTCCAGACAAGGGATTATCAGACGAGTTAGTTGGCTTTCTTTGTCGATCAACTTCCTCAAGCTCAATCAATTTACGCGAATACAAATCAAGAACAGTATCATCTGAATTCTTGGAGAACTCAAAGTTATTATCACTTGTCCCGACGCTTGCATTGACCATGCTCTTTTTCCCAATCGCACCACTGCCTTTCCCACACTCCACCTCCTTCACAATTAGCTCCTTAGAAGCCTCGGGAATACTCGAACCCTTGAGAACTTTCTCACTGTGCTGGGAAGTTACAATTTTTCGATCTTTTTCAAAAGAAACTGCCCCATTGACCGCTTCGTTTGATCTACTGTTCGACTCCTTGTCATCAAGCGTAAGCTTTTGAATCAACCCATTTAAGTCTGACCTGTGACTCAATTCATTTCTCAGAGCAGCCTCTGCTTTTGCAAACTTGTTCCTTTTCAAGAATTCCAGTATATCATCGACAGGACTTGATTCCGCCATTTAATACAATCACTTCTCAACCGAGAGCTAAAAACACCGCCGAATTAATCCTGTTTTGGTACACAAACAAAAGATAAATAAACCAAAAACACCATCATTTTCTTTAAAATCAGATTTAAGCTACATTTCAAAATCCTATTTACACATCATTGCTGGCAAAAACTCAAAATTTGATTCAATAAATATTCTCCCAGTTCGAAACTCGAATCTTTTTCGGCAGAACAGGATACAATACTTACATTCCTTCCATATCCACAGCCCCAAAATCAAATAGAATAAAGTTTAAATGGGCCGGGGAAAAAGGAAAAGGGGGAAACATCGATGAAAGCAGAGCTTTAGATAAGACGACAAACCTGAGTTGTAAAATGTCATTTTCATGGATCACCACTAAAAAGATAAACTATAGCAACATTCGCATTAATTAGCGGAGCCACACTATATTATTTCCCCTCGGGATTCAACATAGAAACCTGAGAAGAAGAAAAAAATCATAAAGATCTGCGCTTCAGACGAAACCCTAAAAGCAAAGAACACTCGTTTGAACGAAGAAAAGATGGAATGAAGTGAAAAACGCAAATGATTGCCACAACAATAAACGAAGCCAAGAAAAAAAAAATGGGGAAAAAAAAATTGAATTATCAGAGTGAAATCAATTGAGTGTGGGAAAAAAAAAGGGGGGGCTTACAGTTACAGATCGAAGAATATGGTAATTTCAGGAGCCAAACACGGTGCTATTGAATCCCACCCATCCCCCACAATTTCAAGTTTTTTTTAGGGTAAATTACAACCACCTCCCTGAGGTATGGTCAAATTACAAAATTCCCCATCTTATTTGGGTAATTACAACCACCCCTTAACTATAAAATTTAGTGGAATCTTCTAGATTATATGGAATATTATCACTATTATTCTTCGAACTCCATATTTTGAAGTAAGATGATCATAATATGTGTTTTTTGGCTTGTATATATCAGATTGTGATGCATTAGAAATTGTATTTTTACACAAAAACGAGTACAAACTAGAGCACATTCCACGAAATCCAGATGATTATGTTGAATTTGACACCATAAGGGTAGATGTGTAAGAAAAAAATCATAGTTGAGGGGGTAGATGTAATTATCCAAACAAGAGGGGTTTTTTCGTAAATTGACCATACATCAGTGGGTTGGTTGTAATTTACCCATTTTTATATTAATTATTATTAAAATAAATATATATATTTTATTTAATATATGGACAAATTACGGCCATCCCTGAGATATGACCAAATTACGAGAAAGAAACCCTCTTGTCTGAGTAATTATAGTCATTCCCTCATTTTAAATATTTTTAAATAAAATTTATGTAATTCGTTTATTTACCGAACCAAATAGTATATTCAATTCGCTAAACTATGAAATGTTGGAATACCGAAATTTCAGTTTAATTTTACCGATTTAACATTTCTAAGTTTGCTTCTGAAGAAGTATTTACTTAAGATAATACATAGTTGAGGGGTGGCTGTAACTACCCAAATTTGGGTAGCCGTAATTTGCCATTAATATAAATACATATGCTCCTATGCACATGTTGAGGCTATGTTATATTTTGATTTTTTACGATTTTGCCATTGTGATTTTCAATTTTAATTTTTAATTCTACTACATTCATTTATCATCTCCTGAACTAAATTCCCATTACAAAAAAAATCTACAATTTCACTCTTGCTTAAACTTATTACAAATAGTGTTATTTAAATACGAAATATAATTTATGTTGTTAACTTTTAGAATTACTTAGGAAAAAAAAATTGTCTATATTCAAAATATTTTCATAGATTTATCGTGAAAAGAAAAAAAAAACAATTCGAATATATTCATTTACTGAAAATCCACTATAGATAGTAGACTTGTCTCCTTGAATTAAATATGTAACATATATAGATTATCATTTTCTTGTACAATGTCTTTCACTTATACGTATACACATTTTCTTGCATGTATACGTAAATTATACATATATAGATATATACCTATCTTCCAAATCATTACATTACATTGACTCACTGTCTCTCTCTCTAGATCTCTCTCTCCTCTCTCTCTCATCAATACAATTAGATGGCGAGTGAGGGAGTGTCGTTTCTGCTTGAAAAGGTGAACGGTCTACTGAAACACTACATCGATCTGATCGGCAACGCCGAAGACGAGCTTCTAGGGCTGAAGAGTGACCTCGATACGTTGAAGTCGTTCCTCGCCGACGCGGCCGGTAAGCCGAACAAGGGGGAGGTCTTCAGACGCGCCGAGAGGAAGATGAGGGAGGTTATTTATCAAGTGGAGGACACACTCGACACGTGTTTGACCGCCTCCGCCGCAAAGGCCAAAAAGAACCCTATCCGCCGGCTTGCTCTGCCTAGCTACAGCTTGGCGAAAGAGGTCAAGTCACTCAGAGAAAGTAAGGTCAAAGAAATTATCCAAATAGCCTACGGCGAACTCGGTAAGATGCTTATCGGCGGAGGATCTGGGTCAACCGGTGAAGATTCCGGGACAACGGTGACTGAGGTAATACTAATATTGGAAATTATATACTACGCCTGGTTATAATTATCATGAGTGTGTGCAGGGGCGGCAGGGGCGGACCCAAGCTTTGCTTCGGATGCCGCCCCTGCAAGAAAAAAAAATCACCTTATTTTTAAGGGGTAATATGTTAGACACCCCTTGAATCAAACATAATTAGATATGAGGAACACCCTCAAATAAAATAGTTTAACTAAATCCTTAGTTTTAAATAAAATTTGAACCACATCCTTTAATTTTTATTTAACCCGAAAATACCCTTAATATAACTAATAAAAAATCAGATTTATTTTTCATTTCTCTCTTTCTCCTCACCCTTCTTTCTCTGCCACGCCGCCCCACTCACTCCTTTTCTCTCACTTTTGTTTCAACTGCAACTCTCTCTCTCTCTCTCTCTCTCTCTCTCTCCTTTTCTCTATTTCTTTATTTTTTTTCTACCTGATTTGAGTGCTACATCGAGGGGTATGGTGGGTTGTTTATTCTCTCTCTTCGTCTTCTCTCTATTTTTTTTTTGGCAGATTTGAGTGATAGGGGGCGGCGGAGGGTATGGTGGATCGTTTATGGAGGCGGGTATGGTGGCAACGGCGGGTATGGCGGCTACGACGGGTATGGCTGAGCAAGTTGAGGCGGATCTCTGTTTGTGGGGCTTGGTTATGAAATTGGCTATGATGGGTGGTGGACCTAGCAAGTAGCAGCGTATGGTGACGATGGGTATAAAGGCAGGCTACCATCGTGGATGACGGACTGACGATACGGCTATGGGGTCGGTCGGGATGGAGGCAGTTACAGTGGTGGTGGTGGATGCAGTTATAGTGGGGAGTGGTTATGGGGAAAAGGTAAGGCGGTGGCTATGTGGGCGGCGCGGCTGTTGTTGTAGATCTAGGGTTTCGTTTTTTTTACAAGTGTGACTATGAATTACTATGGTTTACTATGAGTATCTACAGATGGAGGACGGCTAGGGTTCAAAGGCAAAATTACGGTTTTTAAATTATGAGTACGAATGACTATGGGCGACTATGATTACTATGGGTTCCTATGGGTGTCTATGATTACTACGGGTTCCTATGTCTGTTGGTGACTATGGCAAAAAAAAATAAAAAAAAAAAAAATCATAATTTTCAATAATGTAAAAAAAAAGGAAAAAAAATAGATTTTTATAATACTAAAAAAAATACAAAAATGGAAAAAAAAAATTCGTGTTCTACAAAAAAAAATCAAAATTATTAGATGTAAAAATTAACAGTGTATATTGCAGATTTTTTTGATAAATACAGTTTAAAATATTACTTAGTGCAGATTTTATTTTTTGTGTATGGAGGGCATTTTTGGAATAAAAATTATAAAGGATGTGAAGCTAATTTTATTTAGACTTGTCATTTAGTTCTAATAAGGTTTGTCACCAGGGACTTATATCTTAAGACCCCTATTTTTAATGGTTTTTATTTATTTATTTATAAATTAGAATATATTTCGCCGCTTCCTAAAAAAACTTAATAGCTTATGATTTTAAGCTTAAAATTTACAATAGTGATAATATATTTTAGATTATACTTATTTTTAATCAAAATAATTTGTAATACTTAATTTTTATTGTTTAGATTATACTTATTTTTAATTAAAATAATTTGTAATACTTAATTTTTATTGTTGATATTTACAAAATATATCCCAAAACAAAATTCGAGGTCGCTGTCCTCGAACCCCGTAAATTCACACCATTTTCCCCCAAATCTAGCCCTCCCATGGAAATGACGCTGAGTCCGCCCCTGAGTGTATATGATTATGTGTAGATCTACGGTTAAAATACAACCGGTGTAAATTATAATCAGGTGCAGCATCTAACTTCCCGTAATACTATATATATATATATATATATATATATATATATATATATATATATATATATATATATATATATATATATATATATATATATATATATATATATATATATATATAGATATATAGAGAGAGTGAGAGAGAGTGTTTGATAGAGATACATACATACACATACACACACACACACACACACACACACACACACACACACAC